ACCATGATTGTGTCTAGAGCTGGAAGCTCCCTTCCCCTCCCCCACTCCCACACACCCGTAGCCGTCCACTGCCTGCAGATCCAGGGCAGGCTTGTCTGTTTGCATCAGAGGGCCACCTCTCTGGAAGATTCCGGCATGTCCCACCATACCACATGTGGTTCTCTTTGCCTGTCTCCTCTCTGTGCCTTTGCTCAAGCTGTTCCTCCCTCCGGCACACTGTTCCTGGCTGCCCCCACCATGTCCCAAAACAAATGCCTGGTCTCCCATGAACCTGCTCCCCCATGCTGTCCTCTGCCTCGGGGACAGCACCAGCAACCACCCACTGCACATGCCAGGGCACAAGGAGCCTCCCCAACCCCTCCTTGGCCTCCTTCACCCTCTAGCCATGCCACACCATGCCCTGTCCCCTGTACCTCCCACACTGTCTCAGCCGGCTGCCACCATCTCCCCTGGATCTCAGTGCGACACTCCCAACTGGCTTCTGTGTCCACTCTTGTCTCTACTATTCTGAGTAAGCTTTGGCAATCTAGTCTCTTTTCTCTATAAAACCCTTCCCAAGCTTCCGGCCACCATAAGACAAGGGCTGGTCTCAGGCCAAATGTCCCCCTCCCTGCCTCTGGTCATACTGATCCCCTCTCAAGCTCTTAGGTCTGTGGCCTGGGGGTCCCCATCCAGACCACCCATGTCCCTTTCGCCTCCACCAGTCTCTCCTCCCCTCATCAGCCATCCTGGTCCTCAGGCACCCTCTTCCGGGAGGTCTTCTGTGACCTCTGCGGAGGCCAGGCCCAGGGGACCAGCGCTCCCTGCCCGCTACCCCCTTGTCATTCTTTAATGCCTTATTCATCACGATTTGTGCAGCTACCATCTCTCCTGCAGGACTGCTCTGTGGGGGCCTGGCTGTGGCTGTCTTGTTTGTGACTGTGCCCCCAGCACCCTTGTGGGGCCCTCTGTGGGTTTGGTTTTCAGCCTGGCTCCACCCAGAGGCAGGAAAAAGGGAGCCCCAGTCCCTCCCACCCTCTCCTCCAGGAAACCCTCCCTGAAGAGACCCTGGGGTATCAGGGGAGGCCTCCTTGCCCCTCCCCTAGGGCTCCCAAGCCCTGTGTCCCAGTGGTCACCCCAAGGGCAAGGACATATTGGCTGGAGAGCCCCCAGGACAGGGCTGCAGCTGCCTTGTGCCTTCCACTCCCCCAAGCCCAGTGCCCCTGGGGCCTGGTTGATGAGGCTGGAGGGCTGCTCTCAGCTGGGGCACCAGGAGGCCAGGATGGAGCCCCACAGAGCCCCAGGGGTACGGGAAAGGTGGCAGTGCCCGCTCGGCATCCATTCCTCCTCCCCAAGCCCTGCCAGCTGGCTTCTCCAGCTCCAACTGGGCTCTGCCTTTCTCTCTCCCTCCATCACCCCGCTGGCTCCCCTCCTTCTCCCCTCCTCTCCTGCTCTCTTTCCCGTTCCCTCCCCTCTCCCCATTCCCCTTCCCGGACCTCCCCCGCCCCCACTTCTCTCCTCTCCTCTCCTCTCTTTTCCTCTCCTCTTTTCTCTGAGTCCTTCTCCCTCGCCTCCTTCCTTTCTTCTTCCTGGGTTAAAAATAATCAACTTTCTGGGAAGCAGCAGCTCCTGCTGAGCCGCCCTCCCCACACTCGGGAGCCCCTGAGAATAGCTTTCTGCGGTTCTCCACTCGAGCCCCTCCCCTCCCCTCGCCGCCTCCCCGCGAGCTGACTAATAAGCCCGGCCGCGCGGTGCCAGCTCGGCTGGAAAGGCGTTAACCGCTTCGTGCCCGGACCGCGCGAACGGGGCGGACGGGCTCTCTGCAGGCCCGCGGGGAGGGGTGGCGGGAGAGGCGGCCCCGGGACACAGCTCAGGACGAAGCCCTGAGCGGCACGCGGTAGGCCCTCGATTCTTACTGGCGGTGGGATGAATGTTGACCTCTGACCGCCACGCCGGCAGGTCCTGCTGCTGGTGCAGCTGGCAGAGCTTGGTGGCATCGGTGGGCGCGCCAGGTGCGATACCCAGGGGATGGGTCCGGGCCACATGGAGGGCGCGGCTGGGCCGGTGAGGCTCCCTCCCTGTGGCCCGGGGGACTTCTAGGTCCCTGGCACTGGGCACTGCCTGAGGGGAGCCGGGGCTGAGACCGTTAAAGTTCGGGCCAAGGGCAAGGAAGGGCTGAAAACTGTCCTGGGATCCAAGGACGTCCACAGCTGGTAGGGCCTTTAGCGATCACCCACTCTCCTTGCAGAAAGGGAAACTGAGGTCCAGAAGGTGTGACTGAGGCCGGGACGTCTCTCGGTTCCTGTCCCAGACTAAGGGATGCCCGCGGCCCTGGAGTCTTTCAGTTCGGGCGTTTCTGCAGGGGTAAGGCTGGGGGAGGGGCGGGGTACATCAAGGTCAAAGGTGAGAAGTAGGTGGGGAGAGAAGAAGCGCGGAGCTCTGCTGGGTCCCCGCCAGTCCCGCCCACTCCGCGTGGTCTCGGCATTACCTCATCGCGGCGCGCTCTCATTGGCTAGTTCCCCCCTTGAAGGACGGCCCAATGCGGCGGAGCCCCTTAACCCTTTCCGCCCTGCGGACTCTGCCCTGGCCATGTCACCTGCCTCCGCGGCCCCCAAGCGGCTTTCAGGTGCTGGAGGGCCACGGAGAACAGGGAAAGGTAATGTGGGAGCCGTCTCGAGGCCAGAGAGTACAGTGGTTAGAGCACAGGTCAGACAACTACGTCTTGGGCCCCTGCCCCGCGGCCGGCTGTGTGACCTTGGGGACTGGCTTCACCTCGCTGAGCCTCCGCTAGTTTGCTTAGCTGTAAACAGAGGTGAATGATGTAACTCCTGCCCTTCCCAATCCTTCCCGGTGTACTTGCCAAGTGCCAGGCACACGTGGGCTCTGCGTTCCATTCCACCTTGTCTCCTCACTGCAAGAGGTACAGTTATTATTATGGGTTTTCCGAGGAGGAAACAGGGCTCAGAGCAGCAAAGCTGCCTCCCAAGGTCACCCATCAAGAAAGTCACAGAGCTGGGATTTGATCCCGAGTTTCGAGTTCTGAGCTGTACTCCTCCCCAGGGCAAGATTCTGCTTCTGCTGGGAGGCGCTGCTTCTAGGAGCTCTCCATCTCTCCCGAAGGAGGGACAGGACTCATACCCAGCTGGTCAGCTCGTGACACATGCCACTGTGGCCAAATAAAACCAGTGACAAGCTGGAAAGCCCAGGACCTCCAGGGACAAGGGACAGGAAGAAGGGTGAGGGCAGGGAGGGGCTGGAGTTGAACCCTCTAACGGGGAGGCAGGAGGACCCTCAGATAAAGGCAGGGGGCTGGACTGAGTCCAGTGAGGGTGCATGGAGTAGGAAGCTCTGAAGAAGCCTGCAGGATCCCCTGGGAGTCAGCCTGCTGGTTAGGGGTCAGCCCAGGGAGGCGGCTTCTCTCTGGGCAGCACCAGGGGTCAGCCTGGGGCAGGAGTGCAAGCTGAGGCCCACATACCACATGTCTAGGTATTTACACGTTATAAATCAAGCTAACAAACTGCTAAATAAAATACGTTCTGTTGCCCGGTACGGCGGCTCACGCCTGTAATCCCATCACTTTGGGAGGCCGAGGTGGGCAAATCACCTGAGGTTGGGAGTTCGAGACCAGCCTGACCAACATGGAGAAACCCCCGTCTCTACTAAAAATACAAAATTAGCTGGGCATGGTGGTGCATGCCTGTAATCCCAGCTACTCGGGAGGCTGAGGCAGGAGAATCGCTTGAACCAGGGAGGTGGAGGTTGCAGTGAGCCAAGATTGCACCACTTCACTCCAGCCTGGGCAACAAAAGCGAAACTCCGTCTTGAAAAAAAAAAAAAAACTCCGTCTTGAAAAAAAAAGGTTCTGTCCTCCCTTCCTTGACAAATACACTCTTTCATAAGGACAAACACACCTGGAAGGCTGGGTTTGTGTTTAGAATTCTCAGGCTCCTCGGAGACCGGAGACCGCAGGAGGAGCTATAGCAGGTGGGAGGGTGGGGGTGGGGAGCCAGCCTCAGCCTCTGGCCTCTCCAGCTTCACACTCTTCTTTTCTTTTTGCCCCAGGTATTGTTATTTTCCCTGAGGGGTTGTGCATGCTCAGGTGTAGGCACTCCAGGCCGTAAGCACATGTTCTGTCCACACCCCCTGCCAACAGCCACCTCCTGGACACTCCTGGGGCTTAGGGGTGCCCAAACGGGTGGCTCAGACAACCCTCAGGAGAATGCACCCGGGACGCAGGCTGAGGTCATTGAACAGGGAATTCCAGGGCCCCAGATGCCGGATCTGGGCCCATGGCTTCAGCTGGAAATGCCTACCTGGTCCAGGAGTGCTGCTCTCGAAAGCACAGGGCTCAAGTCTGTGGGCCGAGGGCCCCAGGGTGCTGCAGCAGCTGGGGTGGTCAGAGCTGGACATGGGGTCTCCCTCCCTCCTTGAGCTTGCTCTTGACCATCACCTCCAGTCATGTACCCCCGCCCCAGCCCCATGCCCCATGCCCCAGCCAAATGCCAACCCTGGGGAGCTTCCCACTTCAATGAGTCAGTTCCCTTTACCCTGCCCCCACTGCCCCCCACCCTTATCCCCCTTATCCGGCTGCTCCACGCCCTACCTGCTCCCTGGGCTCCTAGCCCCAACTATCTGCCTACCCACCCACCCCCCTCTGCCACCCTAACCTCCTATCTGCCCTCCTCAGGTCAGCCAGTTAGATCTTTCTAAAATGCAAAGATGCAGGCTTTGGGCTTCCTTCCCTCTCTAACCAGCGCTGGTTCCCGGGCTGTCTACATATCATTCCCCAGGCTCTGGATGTCCCTCCTCTCTTCCCTTCTCCTCTCCTTGGGTTCTGAGCTGTAGCCATTTGGGCCTTCTCTCCAGTTCAGTTTTGTGCCATTTCTGCCTCATGGTCTTCATGCGCACTACCCCCTCTACCTGGAACCATGTTTTCTGCTCTTTGTCCCTGGCTCCCCAGACCAGCAGAAACCACATGGCGATGAGCACATGGAGTTGTCAGTTTCCAGTGTGTTTCCTACCTGGCCTGTAGGCAACAGGAGGGCAGGTTGGGTCAGTGCTGTTCGCTGCTGCATCTTCGGTGTCTGGCACAGAGCAGATGTCACTGAAGTTTCATGAGTCACATGCACCTGCACTGGGCTTGAAATCAAGAGACCATGGCAGCTAATGTCTATTGTATGCTCACTGTGTCCCGGGCTCTGCTTTTAAGCATATTATATGTATTAGTTCGCTTATTTCTCACAACAGACTTAGAAATAGGAATGATTACTATCTCCACTCTACAGAATGAGGACACTAAGGCACAGAGAAGTTCAGAGACTTAGACTCACAGCTGCCCAGTGACAGACCCCGATTTGAACCCAGGCCGTGGAGTTCCAATGCTGAACCACGTCTTCCCGTCTAGCCCCAGCTGGGCCAAGGCCTTGCTGTGGGTCCCTGGGCACCAGTGTCTCCACTTCTCTGAGCTGCAGCTTTTCTTTTCTTTCTTTTTTTTTTTTTTTTTTTTTTGAGACGGAGTCTTGCTCTGTCGCCCAGGCTGGAGTGCAGTGGCCGGATCTCAGCTCACTGCAAGCTCTGCCTCCTGGGTTCACGCCATTCTCCTGCCTCAGCCTCCCGAGTAGCTGGGACTACAGGCGCCTGCCACCTCGCCCGGCTAGTTTTTTGTAGTTTTTAGTAGAGACGGGGTTTCACCGTGTTAGGCAGGATGGTCTCAATCTCCTGACCTCGTGATCCACCCGTCTCGGCCTCCCAAAGTGCTGGGATTACAGGCTTGAGCCACCGCGCCCGGCTCTTTTTTTTTTTTTATAGACGGAGTTTCGCTCTTTTTGCTAAGGCTGGAGTGCAATGGCGTGATCTTGGCTCACTGCAACCTCTGCCTCCCGGGTTCAAGTAATTCTCCTGCCTCAGCCTCCTGAGTAGCTGGGATTACAGGCATGTGCCACCACACCTGGCTAATTTTGTATTTTTTTAGTAGAGACGGGGTTTCTCCATGTTGGCCAGGCTGGTCTCGAACTCCAGACCTCAGGTGATCTGCCTGCCTTGGCCTCCCAAAGTGCTGGGATTACAGGCGTGAGCCACTGTGTCTGGCTCTGAGCTGCAGCTTTTCTGTGTGCAGTGGGGGGTTGGCCACAGTGGTGATCCCTGAGGTCCCTTCCAGCTCTGACAGCCTGGCAGCTCCTCTGATGATCCATCCTTCAGGGAGCCAAGGACTCCCTGTGGAGGTCCTGCAGGGATGCCCGAGAGTTGGGTGGCTGGGAAACAGCTTGCCGTGATTTAGGCTGCAGACCTGAGTACCTGGCCAGGGACCCAGTCGTCCCCAGCAGTCTTGTCATCGTGACCCGCCTTCTTCTTGTAGGAACCCAGGCTGGGCTATGTAAATGAACTGAGCTGAACTGCCCGGTGCTGGGGTTCAGGAAGAGACTGGAGGCTGGAAGTTTAGGAGGCCGAGTACTGCAGTTGGGTTGGGGGACAGTACTTGGGGCAGGGTTGAGCTTGGGTCCCCACACCAAGAGCTTCACAGTCATCTCACAGACCCTTCAGCGACAGTCCTGAGGGCTGTCCATTTTTTAGAAGAGGACATGACAGGGAGGCATGGGGGGGATAGTGACCTGGCCAAGGTCACACAGCAAGGAGTCTGGATTTGGTTCTTAACCACTCTGCCCCCAGCCTTGGGCAAAGGTGTTCAGTGTAGATGGGAGAGTAAACAGAGAAGTTCTAGAAGGGGTCAGGCGCAGTGGCTCACACCTGTAATCCCAGCACAGTGGGAGGCCCAGGTGGGCAGATCACCTGAGGTCGGGAGTTCGACACCAGCCTGGCCAACATGGTGAAACCCCGTCTCTACTAAAAATATAAAAATTAGCCAGGCATGGTGGTGTGTGCCTGTAATCCCAGCTACTTGGGAGACTGAGGCAGGAGAATTGCTTGAACCCAGGAGGTGGAGGTTACCATGAGCCGAGGTTGCGCCACTGCGCTCCAGCCTGGGCTATAGAACAAGACTCCGTCTTGGGGGAAAAAAAAAAAAAAAAAAGTTCTGGAAGATACTCTGGGACATGCATATGGGTCCATGTGTTTATACCCATGAGCATGGGTACTCCCTTGCTCCCCATCCCAGCACCTCTCCTTGCCCACCTCTGTCTCACTGCCTTTGTTTATTCGCCTGTGGTCACTGTGGACTCTGCTAGACCCTGAGCCTGTGAGGGCAGCGGCTGTCTTCCTGTTCCCTGCACACTAGCACGTGACTCAAGCACAGGCAGGAGGAAGGCGGATGGAAACACAAGCGCAGCCCGTGGCTGTTCCACCGTGTCCAGTCCCTTCCCTCCTCGGGCCTCTGTTTCTCATCTCTGCATATGCGGTAAAGTGCCTCATCCTTAGTCCAGGCTCAGGTGAGCCGCTGGGTTCCTGCTGGGCCATGGGAAGGGTTCCAACACCCAAAGGGCAGGGAGGATGAGGGCAGGCGGCTCAGCTGCCCTCCCTCCTTCCCGGGGCCTGCCACCTCCCCTCTGTTTTCTCCTGATTCTGGTCACCCACCAGGAGGGGCTCAATGTCCTGCTCAGCGAGTTCCCTTAACAGGCTGGGCAGCCAGGGGGGTGCTCGGCTGGACTGGAGGAGCCGATGTGAGCCCAGGCCACCCATGGAGGCTCCCCCTGAAGAGAGGGAACAGACAACCCAGCCACTTGTCAGGAACCCGGACCAAATACCCCACCCCCAAGGCTCGACACTAAGTGTTCCAGGGGCCTGGTTTGCAGGAAGGGCAGCAGGATGCTCACTTGGGGGCGGAACACTCACCTGAGGGAGGAACTGTACCTGCTCAGACTTGGGTTACCCACAAACTCAGCCCAGCAGGAGTCTGCCGGCCGCTCTAACAATGTCCACTGTGACGCTGCTGGGATTCTGCAAGGTGCTTTTAGTGTTAGCCCATTTTACAGAGAAGAAAGTTGAGGCTCCAGACAGACATGAGCTTAAGCCCCTGGCCCAGTTCAAGTCACCAACCATTCCAGAGGCCAGGGCCTGGGGCGGGGTATGTGGCACCCCAAAGCCCAGGTGAGGGTGACCTGAGGGTGGAAGTCTGGGCCTGGAGAGGCAATAGAGGGAGTGAGGACGGCTCCTGCCAGAAACAGGGGAGGGGTGTTTGAGACCTTGAAGGAGGTGGGACTGTGACCGTGGTGACCGTGGGAGGGGTCCAGGTCCAAGCAATAACTGGGAGAGACTTGGTGCAGGGCCCTGAGCTGAAATGGAGGAAAATGGAGATGGACTGGTCCCTGCCCTCAATGGGGGGTAAATGCCAAGGGTGGAGGCAGGAGCCCAGAGGAGGGCACCAGGCCAACCCAGACATGAGCTTTGTGGTGTGCGTGTGTTTACTGTGTGGCCAGAAGACGTGAGGAGTGTGTCAAATGGTCTGTGTGATGTTGTGGTGGGGGGATAAGTGTATCAGCATATGGAGTGTGAGTGTGTGTCTGTGTGTGCATGCACACCCGCTAGAGCATGCACTTTTGTGCCTGTGATCTGTGTCATGCAGTGTGTCCGTGCCTGTGTGGGATGTGGTCCCTGTGATGTGGAGCGTGTATGCTGGTGTGTGTGTGTGTTGTGGGGTGGTGCTAACTGGGACACTCTTCAGGGGAAGAGCCTAGCTCGGATAGAGGTGGAGGAGTTAACCAGGAAAACGGGAGAGGAACCAGCACGTGCAAAGGCCTGGAGGCATGAAGAGGGAGCCTGCAGCACTAGAGGACTTGAAAGTGGTCCAGTGAGGCTGGGGACAGGGAGGGAGAGGCAGGGCCTGGGAGGGACAGGGCAGGCCTTCCTCCACCAGTTTGAGTTCCATTAGCTTGAGGGTGTGTACAGCCAAGAGGGATGGAGGGGCTGAGAGGAGGCCAAGCCACCACTGACCAGGTGGAGGGGTGGGGGTGAGCCTGGACCGGGCAGGTGCTGGGTGGAGGTGGGGGAGTGAGAGCCAGAGCTTTCAACCAAGCCTCAGGGAGGCTGCAGGGCCTGGGATCCCAGACCTGAGCCTGATTCCTGCTCAGCCCAAGAGCTGTAGCCAGAAGGTTCTTAGTTTCCCCTCAGTAAACTGGGACTCAGGAGATTTCTGGAGCACTTGTTCTGTATAACTGGGCAAGGGCTGGGCAGGCATTTCCAGCATGAACACGTCTTCCCAGGCCCACTGGTTGGAGGGCACCGAGGGGTGAGGGTGACCTGAGGGTGAAGTCTGGGCCTGGAGAGGCCATAGAGGGAGTGAGGACAGCCCCTGCCAGAAACAGGGGAGGGGTGTTTGAGACCTTGAAAGGTGGGACCGTGACGGTGGTGACCGTGGAAGGGGTCCGGGTCCGGGTCCCACGGGGGGGTCAGAGGAAAGGAGCCGGACGCAGGAGCCAGAATTTGAACCCAGGTGGTCTGACTCCAAGAGGGCCCCCTCACCTGACTTCAACAGTGACCTTAGCGGCTTCAACAGTGACCCCAGTAGTGACAATAGTGACTCACCTGCCCCATGGACTTGAAACTGCGATGGTTGTGCTCTCCTTTGACCCTGTATCCTGGGGGACTCCACACGGTTATTATATTGTTACTGCGCCTTTTTAGAGATGAGAAAACTGTGGCCAGAAGCAGAGTGGCCTGACCAGGGCTCCAGCGCCCCAGTCCTGCTGCAGATGATGTGGGGCAGTTTTCTCAGCACAGGCTGGAAAGCTCTCTTAGGTAACACGTGGAAGGCAGCGTGCGACCCGGCAGAAAGGATTGTAATTCCGGGTGGCTGTACGACCTTGGACGGTCCTTTTCCCATCTCTGGGCCTCGATTTACCCAACTGTACAATTCGCCCCGTGAGTCTAGGAAGATTCGCTGAGCGTCTGCCAACTGGCAGATGAGGAAACCGAAGGTCAGAGTTGAAAGCACAGAGTTGCCTCAGGTCAGGCGGCCGGCACAAGGTGGCGCCGGCTTCGAAGCCGGATTCCGAGGGCTAGCCCTGCCCTCGGCCCCCAGCGGTGTTGTCCTGCCCCCAGGGGGCAGCGGCGCGGGGCCGTTCCAGGCCCTGCCAGCCTGACGTCAGGCCCGGCCGGCGGGGCCTCGCTCTGCACAAACAGACGCCGCAGGCCAGCGTCGGGGCCGGGGGCGGCGATGACTCAGGGCCCCGAGACGGGCCGGGAAGCGGAAAGTTGTGTGCAGATGACATCAGCCGGCCGCGAGGGCGGGAGGGGGCCGGCTCCGGGAAACGGCGGCCTGGCGGGCGGCCCGGCAAGGGATAGGGCGCGTAGGGGCGGCCGCGGGGCGGGGGCGGGAACACCGGGACGGGACGCTGGGAACCACGAAAAATGTCCCCCTTCCCGCCCGCCCCGGACCCAGGCCCCGGAGCCCGGCCCCGCTTTTCGCCGGCAAGGAGCGGGCTCCACCCGCCTGCAAAGACGCCGCGCTCCCCCGCGCTCCGGAGGCAGCCGCATCCATCCTGCTGCGTGCCTGCATTTTAATTACCGCCGCATTAATATTCATGAGCCAGGACTCGAGGGGGACCGCGGGCTGTCATTTCCCTCGCCAGCCCTCCCCCCACCGCACCCCTCTTCCTGGGCTGAGTCTTGGGCTTTTTTCTTCCCGTTCCCAACCCCGCTCGCACCAACCGTTGGTGCTCAGCAGATTTGGGGGAGCGGGGTGGTGTGTGAGCATGAGTGTGAGCGAGTGTGAGTGGGGAGGGCGCAGGGTGGGGGCCGAGTGTGAGTCTGTGCCTACGTCTGTGTGCCTGTGCATGCGTGCCTGTGTGTCTGTCGGCAGTCCCAGGGCCGTGTGTGCTCTCTGATGTCTCTGTGGGGCTTGGAGAAGGGCCAAAGCCTGTCCAAGTTAGCAGGGCCTGACTGTACAAATGGGGAAACTAAGGCCTGGAGAGAGGCTGGGCCTTGTCCAAAGCCACCCCATAGGTCAGCAGCACAGGGGAGCGGGAGACCAGGGCCTTACGTTTGGCAGGCTCTGCTCCCCGCTCTCCCCTGCTGTTGTTTGTAACAATGGCAGACAGGATGTGCTGAGCGGGCACCTCTTATATGTCCTTCCCGGCAAACCTGTGCAGCATGTGGTCCTATCCATGGGCCGTGCAGACAGGGAAACTGAGGCAACTGGTCCAGCTAATGAGGGGTGAACTGGTACCCAGAAGTGTCTGAATCCTAAGTCCCTGGGTTTCACGGCCCCACTGTGGTGCCTCCTGGGAAATTGTGGAGTGTCTTCACTGGGGTGATCTGGGGGTACCTGGAAGCTCCTGGGTGCCCGGGCATCAGCGGGGATGTTTCCCCAGAACAGCCCACCTTCTGTTTCCCTCCCAAGTGAGTCATCGGATGGGGCTGCCTTCTTGTGGCTTTCCCAGTCCCCCTCCGTCCCCTCCCCATCCCTGAAGCCTCCCAGGAGCCACCCTGCACACCACACCTTGCTCCCTGGGCCTGAGGTCAGGCAATCATTCATTCATTCATCCAACAAATCCTTCAGTGCCAGTCACTGTGCTAGGCACTGGGGATTCTCTGCTTCCCACTCTGGTCATCTCTACCTGGCCTAGGCGCCTCCAGGCCCACAAGGGGGCTGTTCACCTCTGTGTGTGAATGCTTACTAGGGGTGGGGGACTAGGGGCACCTGTGCACAAAAGACAGCTCTCACCCAGCCTTGCCGCAGAGGTCTGGGGTGCCCACATTCGGTGGCCAGAAAGGGGCTGCGATCATCTTAGGGTTGACGGGGCAGTGGCCACACTAGGCAGCCTGAATCTTTGCTTCTCTCTCCTGCCACTTCTCCTCCTCTGGCCGCCAATCTAAATAACCCCAGAGGCTAGTCAGCCTGCCTTGCCCTGGGTTGAGCCAAGGCCATCCTCCCTTTCACGTCCAGCCGAGAATAGGCGGACTGTTCCCTGGTCTCTGCCCACACAGGGCTAGGCTGGAAGTCGTGTCCCAGCCATGTCCCCTGAGCCTTTTCTCCCCTCCCTTTGGGAGCTCCACAGGAACACAGAGAAGAGGACAGGGGTGCAGCCAGAGGACTCGGGAGAGGAAGCGATAATTTAATTACATTCACCGGTTAAATAGGAGTTTGCCTAGGAGAGGCGGCCCAAGGACGGGGGACTAGCTCAGAGGCGTGCCTACCTGCAGCCCCCATTCTATAACAGGAACCAGAGCAGGCCAAAGGCAAGAGACCTGGGGAGACTGGGAGGATGGATTTTCTCCTAAAGGGCCTGAGGCAGTACAGCCTAGTGGTCCGGCCCGCACCCCTGGGTGGGTCCATCCTGGGTGAGAATCCCCCTCCCTCCTCACTGTGAGGGCCTCTATTTCCTGATCTGCAAAACTGGGAGAATAACTTTTTTTTTTTTTTCCAGGTTTATATTCAGATCAAGAGACACTGCCCATACAGCACCTAGCACAGTGGCTGGGGCTCTTTCATAGGGTGATCTGTCCTCAAGGACATAGGGAGGCCTCTGGAATCACTGTCCCCATTTGGCCCAGAATGGGATTTAAGGATCAGTCTGTGTCCCACAGTCTAACCCATGGGGAGGAGTTTGGTAGGGACAGACTACTGGGAGGAGGGGGAACAGCCTGAAACTGTCATGGGTCAGGCAAGGCTCAGGCTCTAGGTAAGAGAGGGATCTCAGAGGCCCCACGGCCCTGCCTGCTGGGCTCCGTGTAGACCTGCCAGATGGCCCATCACCCAAACAGCCAGAGCCACAGTGAGAGGGGCAGCCTGGCCCGCCAGCTCCTGGCTCCCTTCTGCTGCCTGTGTCTCTTTGCCTCCTGGCTCCCCTCTGTCTTTTGAAAATGTCCTCCCTTCTTTTGTTAGAATAGTCATACCTGTACATGGCAAATACACACACACACACACACACACACACACACACAAACACGAAACCTTTTTTTTTTTTTTAAAAGGAAGCACTGTAAAAGTTCATGCAATACATCCTGACGCTGTCATTCCAGGTTTCGTGTACATTTCCAGGATATTTCTCTCCCTACAGAGCTGTCTTTGTAAAACTTCCATAGGATGACATCCACCTCTGCTCAAAGGCCTTCAATGGCTCCCCGTTTTTATAAAGCAAGGTAGCTTCCTCCAGACTTTGCAGCCTGGCCCAGGTTTGGCAACACCATTCTCCTTCCTCTCCCCATTACCCTCCCTGACGCTGGGCTGCGGGCCCTTCCTTAGAGCGTGGCCTCCTCTCCTGCCACCATGCCTTTGGCTTTGCTGTGCAGACCTCTGGGAATGGCCCGGTGCCTTCCACTGAGATTCTAGCCTTTGCTGTCCCTCAGCCTCTGTGCCTCCTCCCCCAGATCTCTTCCCTCCCCATCCCTTAACACCAAAACCCACCTCTCCCTCTCCCGGTGCCCTCAGGACTGGTGGACGTCTCTAGGGTGCTGCTTTTCACATCTAACTCTCAGGAGCGCCTCCTCCAATCTTGTGTCCCCACTCAGCTATGAGCATCTCAAAGGCTGGGGTCCTGGCATCTTCATTTTTGTTGCCACCTAACTTGATGCCCTGCACATAGTAGGCACTTTAAAATGTTATATTAAAAAAAAATTAAAGTTGCCCTTCCTTCCCTCCTTCCTTCTTTTTTTTTTTTTTTTTTTTTTTTTTTTTTTTTTTTTTTTTTTTTGCAGAGTCTTATTCTGTTGCCCAGGCTGTATGGAGTGCGGGGCACAATCATGGTTCACTGCAGCCTCGACCTCCCTAGGCTCAGGTGATCCTCCCACCTCAGCCTCCTGAGTAGCTGGGACTACAGGCACGCTCCACCAGGCGTGGTGGAGCATTTTCGTATTTTTGTAGAGATGAGGTTTTGCCACGTTGTCCTGGCTGGTCTCAAACTCCTGGGCTCAAGTAAGCCTCCAGCCTCAGCCTACCAAAGTGCTGGGATTACAGGCATGAGCCACTACACCCTGCCTACTTTTTCTTTAGCGATTCAGACTCGAAGCCAGCAAATGAGGGTTGAATCGTGACTATCATTTCCTAGCTGTGTGTCCTTGAGAAAGTGAATCAACCTCTCTGAGCCTCGGTTACCTCATCTGGAAAAGAAAGTTAATAATAAAATCTCCCTTCGTAAGTAACAGTGATAACAGTGCATGTAAAACATCTAGCACTGGCCCGGGGCAGAGAGTAGCCAGCAAGCTCTGATGTTACTCAGTTTTGTCTTAGTCTCATTCAGACTTGTCCAAAGTCACCTGTCCAGTTTGGGGCAATGCTGGGACGCTCCTACTGTCTCTTCCCCCTTCAATGCTACTTCCCTGTAGCGGGAGAGGGTTCCAGGCCATTGTCTCTGTTTTACAGAGAAGGAGAACCAGGTTCAGAGAGGTTGAGTTGCTCACCTAGGGTCACACGGCCCTGAGAACAAAGCAAGGGTTTGTTTGTTTGCTAAGTTCCCGGTGAATTCTTTAGGTTGCTCAGGATAGGGAAAACCTCAGTGAGACCCACCATCCTTGCGGAGGGGCTCGTATTCCTGTGGCCAAGAACTGGCAAGGTGGGCTCTTCAGGGGCCAGGGAGTCACCACAAGTGCTCTAAGTGGACATCACTAAGACGAACAGCCAGCATTTCCTGGGTGCTTTCCCCAGGCAGGGAGCTGTGTTAAGTGTTCATGGGCACAGCTTCCTTCCATCCTCACAGCAACCCTGCTATCCTGCATTCCAAGGGTGGGTGCTCACTGAGATGCCTCGTAGAGGCTAAAGGAGGCGTGGCGCCAGCACCTGAACCCTGATCTCGCTCCTGCCCTGAGCCTCTGTGGACCACCGACGACAATGGGCTTTAGCCTGTGCTGTATCAGCGCTGGGACTCAGCAGGAGACCAGGCTCCACCCCCAACGCCCCCAACCCAAGTTGGGGGTGCTGCTTGGGTCTCATAGAACATCTGGGGGTCCCCCCCCCCGCCCTGGCCCCACAGAGCCGACCCAGCTGCGTCTCTGAGCCGCACCCAAAATCTTCCCAGCTTTGCCAGGGAGACTGGAAATTTCTGCTCAGCAGCTTCGTCTGGGATGATTTCGACACTTGGCTCGATGGGGTCGAGAGGAGGAGCCAGGCCACTCAGCCGCTCAACATTCTGGAACTTCCCTTGGGTCACCGGGAGGGGGGGTTTGCTAGGCCTAGGTGAGCCCCTCCGAAATGATAAAATCAAACAACAGTGACGAAGTACCGAGCGCTTACCATGTGCTGGGCCCTGGGCCAAGTCAGGACTTGCTGGGCCTCACGGAACCTTCCGGCGCCCGGCCAAGGCCAGCACTGTTACTAACCGTCTCGCGGACTGCTCCTGACTGGGGTCTCTGTTAGCATCCAGGAGTCTCCTCCTCGGATACTCTGAGTCCCCCCTCAAGAGACCCCAGGCTCCGGATTCTCTCTACGGGGCCGCTGACGTGCTAGCCCTGGTGAACCCACTCTTCCAGACACTTCCACCCACGCCCGGCCCCGGGGCTGGGGGCGTTGGGCAGAGTGCCGGTGAAATTCTGCCAATGGCTAAGGCGCCTACTGTGCTCCTGGCTCTGCGAGGGTTGGGGGGCTGTCACCAGACCCAAAGTCGCCAGGGAGGAGGGGCGTGAATGACGAGTCTCAGATCCGGGCAAAGGATCGGAGAGGGGATTAGACACCCCGGGCAGGCAGCGGAGGCCGGCCCTGCTGAGCGACCCCCGGCAGCGACGACCCTCAGGGGCTCAGGCTCCACGCCCATTAACTCGGTGTCAGTCCCTTCCATCCCGGGGAGCCGAGCTCCTGGGAAGCAGCGCCTGGGGGCGCCGGCGACCGGCGGGGGCCACCTCCTTGCTCCCCCGCCCTGGCCCCAATCGCCGGGCGCAAGGCGTGCAGGGCGCGGCGCGGGCCAGGGCGCCCAGTTCAGCGGAAAGGAATGCCTCGCTCGGCGGGGGAGGCCGTGGCCCCGAGGCCGTGTCCACCCCTGCCTGCCCTGGGCCTCATTTACTGCGGCTCTGAAGCCCGGCTTGTTTCACCCGCCCGGTCCCGCAGGGTGACTCCCCCAACGATTGCGGTCCCCCACTCCCCACCCCCGATCGCCGCCGGCGGACCCCAAAGTCGGGGCGAGTCTCCAAACCGGGGAGCCAGCCCCGCCCTCACGCCGCGGCGGCGCCCTCCCCTCCCCCTCCCCGCCGCCCGCCTCTCCCCCTCCCCCCTCCATAACTCAAAAGCCTGTCAAGCTGGTTCCAGACTCCTGGCGCCGGGCTCCGCTCCAGGAAAGAAAAAAAGGAAAGAGAAAAAGGGAAAAAGCCGGCGCGAGGGAGCGAGAGAGGCCCGCGGAGCAAAACCGTGCGCCCCGGCACGCACAGCCCCGCGGCGCCCGACCCCCCGCGCCCCTAACCCTAACGCGGATCCCCGTCCTAGGGACACAGGGCGCGCGCGCGACCCCGATCAATTATTTATGGGCGAATCAATTATGTAGCCGCCCGGGGCGGGGGCGGGGGCGGGGGAGGCCGGGAGGGGCGGTGCGACGCGGAGACCACCCGGCCGCAGTGGCGGCTCTCCCGCCGGGCCTCGGGGTCGGGTCGGGAGGCGTCCCCACGCCGACCGGGGAGGGTCCGGTTGTGAGAAAGCTGCCTCGGGGTGGGCTCCGGGAGGAGCGCAGGGGAACCTGAGGAAGCGGGAGAGACGACTCGGAGACCTCCCAATTAGATTGGGAGGGGAGATGGGGGCGGGCAGCGGGGCTGGGAAGAGCCGGCCGCGGAGACGGGGGCGTGGGAAGAGTCTGGCCTAGGCATTTCTTCCCTTCCTTCCTTCCTTCATCCCCAGCCTGACTGCGAGCCCACTACGTGCCACTGCGCCCACAGCAGAGGGCGGTATTAGGGAGGGGTTAGGCGCAGGAAGGAATTTCGAGGTACAACTGGGTCCAAATCCGGATTTGTATCCTTTTCTCCCCTGCTGTGTGGCCTTAGGTAACGGCTTGGGCTCTTGGAGCCTCCATTTCCTCATCTGCCAGCGGTCTTCAGGACGTGGGAGATGGGGCGCTTGGGCAGAGTGTGTTGTGAGGGTGCAGTTGAAGGGAAGTCCTGTCCTTGGGAAGCTTTACATAGAGGGGAACGTGCCCAGTTCCCCAGTATTCCCCAGCTTGTAGCCCCGACTTTGGGTCCCGCATAATCTGCCTCTCCCCGGGACCCACACATTTGAAGGTCGTTATTAAAACCAGTGCCAACCCCAAGGCCACTGCTCAGGGTGCTCACTCCTAGCTGGCGTCTCACCAGCCTGGCCCTGCAGAAGGTCGTGCATATGGCAGCCAGAGGGGCTCAATCTAGTCCTTTTACTCCCCACCTTCCGCTGCTTCTCCCCACTCTCTGCCCTTCACATCCCCATCTCCATTCTCCTTCCAACCTGCTTCTAGTCTGGGCTGAGATTGGAGCCCTGAGGCCATGGGGGCTACAGGACAGTCAGAACAGG